CCTGAACACCCAGCTCCTCACCTGAGCCCCACCCCACCCCACCTGCACCTCCAGCTGGAGCCCTTGCACCCCAACCCTCTGTTCCAGACCTGAGCACCTCAACCCCAGTCCCATCCTAGAGCCCGCACTGCCAGCCCCAGTCCTCCTACTCCTGCTCCCCAGCCCTCTTCCCCCCCTCCCACACTCAAAACCTCTTGATCCTACACCTCCCAGCTCCTCACCTGAGCCCCACCCCACCCCACCTGCACCTCCAGCTGGAGCCCTTGCACCCCAACCCTCTGTTCCAGACCTGAGCACCTCAACCCCAGTCCCATCCTAGAGCCCGCACTGCCAGCCCCAGTCCTCCTACTCCTGCTCCCCAGCCCTCTTCCCCCCCTCCCACACTCAAAACCTCTTGATCCTACACCTGCCACATGGATTTTGTTAGGTGCCCCCATACGAAGGTGATGTGACACCCCCTCCGTGTCACCCCCCCGTGTCACACACCCCCTCCGTGTCACACATCCCCTCCACACTGGTGCACATAAGCACATTACTCCACTCACAGGTGGGAAAACATAGAGGGAGCACTGATCCAGGGTCCACTACTAGTCAATATTTTCATGAACGAGTTGGATACTGGCATGCAGAATCTGCGGTTCAAATCGGCAGACGACATCAAGCTGGGAGGGATTGCAAGCACTTTGGGGGGCTTGATTGGAATTCAAAAGGACCTTGACAAATCCTCCATTTGTCTGAATTCAACAAGATGAAACTCAACAAAATACCAAGTGCTATACTTAGGACTCCTGTCCACTACAGCTGGGATCGACGTTGTGTCAATTGATCCACTGGAGATGGATTTAGTGGGTCTAGTGAAGACCCTCTAAATCAACAGACAATCATTCTCCTATTGACTCCCATACTCCACCAGAATGAGATGAGTAAGGGGAATCTACGAGATAGTTTCTCCCATCAACCCGGCATGGTGTGGACCAGGCAATAAGTAGGTCTACATCGAGCTTCTTTACTGCGCAAAAAGAAATGGCAAAAAATATGCTAATGAGATCACAACTTATGCTAATGAGTGACTCATTAGCATATTTATGCCGGAAGATCTCACAGTGAAGATGAAGCCTAGAGGACTTCAGGGTAATGGAGGATGCAGGTGCTGTGAGGAAGTGGCTGTAAAAAAATCATGGCCCCCTCTCAAGAGGAATTTGCCCAACACCAGGTGGGACGAGCCACACTCCCGCAGAGATCCTCGTGGTGAGTCCCCATCTCAAGTCAAGTCTCCTCTCTGGATGGGCCTCGCCTCCCACACGAGCCCTTTCCTTGGTGACAGGAACGAGCGGGTTGGTCCCGCCACCCCGGTGAGTTGGCACTGCCGCACCTTGTAACGTCTGATGCACAACTCCGATCCCCAGCCCCCGGAGAAACGGGGGGCGTAGGACTCTCCGCTTTTACGGCGAGTGAGCCAGTCGGTTTCCTACCCAAACGACTACCGAGAAAAAGCTTAGACACGTGAAGTGAGTGCGCCTAGAGATGCAGAAGTTAGAAGGCAAAGAGACTCCCCAGTTGGTTTATTCCTGATTCTTAAGCCAACAGCGTGACTTGGGGGATTGGGCCCTGACTTTGGGGCGCTCGCCGCTGGCAGGGCTCAGCTTTCGGGGGTCGGACTTTTAAAACCTTCCCTGCATTTCGGAGGGAAGGAGGGGAACGGGCCTTGTTCGGCAAACAGCAGATGGCGCCCTCGGCCTGAGCAAGGAAGGCGGGAGAGCCGGGTAGGGCCTGATGACTTCACCGCGAGAGCCAGGTGGTCGGCTCTGGACTGTCCGGTCCCAGGGGGAAGAGCCTGTCACCAGGAGCGCTTGACTCTCCCCCTTAGTGACACGCTCCCTCCCTCCGCACATCACTCTGGCCCGTTTTACTGCGACGCTGTGAAACGAGCACTCGGGAAAGGCCTGTTGGCATCCCAGGGAGCAGGCGTGGGGAGCAGGGAGCAGGCGTGGGGAGCAGGGAGCAGGCCTGGCTGGAAGGGAGGAGCCAGGGTAGAGCTAGGTTGCTAAAATTAAAAGCTTTAAAGAAGAGCCACTAGATTTTTTTTTTTTTTTTCAGTGTTACAAGTCCCGAGCCTGGAATCAGAGCCTTGGGCTGGTGTGTAACGCAGATTGAGTGGTCCCAGAATCCAGAAGGCGAGTACATGGGGATGGGGGCGTCACGTCACCGGGTTAAACAGGCAATGCCAGGGAGACACTGAGCCGAGCCCCCTGGAAAACGCCCGTTGCCCTGCCAAGGAGATGGGGAAGTCAGTGGGGACCGCCCGCCCAGAGGAACTCTGCCCAGGTGCATGCACGGAGGAAGGGGCAGGAAAAGTGCAAGACCCTCCTCCTGGACGAAAGGGTGGCCATGTCGGCCAGTGCCAGGAGAGAACAGGGACCAGAGCTCTCTCGTTAGCCACAGGCCATGCCGAATGGGCAGCAATAGTACGGCCTTCGCGCTGCCCCCGGAGCGTGTGTCCCCTGGGTGCTGGAGAGACAGGGCTGGCTTTACCATGAGGCAAACTGAGGCAGCCGCCTCAGGTGCCCGACTGTGGGGAGGGCACCACTAAGACCCAGAGTGTGTATTCTCTCTGCTCTAGATGCAGAGATGGGGCAGTGCTGTGCTGGAGGAAGGAGGGCACAAGAGACATCACAGGCAGGCAGGAGAAAAGGGGCCATGGGGGCATCATTTGACCTCCCTGCCTCAGGTGCCAAAATGTTATGGGCCGGCCCCGTGGAGAGAGGGCGGGTCACCTCTGCCTGTCCTTTGAGACTGTCCCCAAGGGGGCCCATTGGTTGTGACTGGTCTGCAAGGAGGACTCCCATCCCTGAGGCATTGGATTGAGATGCTGCCATTCATTTCACAGCACTTAGGGCAGTTCGGACCAGAGGGGCATTGTATCTGCCCCGCACTGGCCTAACAAGCATCACAGGCAGCTTAGGAAGGAGTGGAGAGGGGAGCCAACAGCTGTGGCACATCTCTGCCAATTAGGGCCCAGCTGCAGGCTGTATAAATAAGTGCTCCTAAAGGGGCAGAAACAGGCTTGTGTTTGCTCCAGCTAGAGAGTTGCAGGGCCCTGGCTGCTAGGGAAGCTGGAGGCTTCCTGAGACAGAGCAATGCCTGGGAAAGGCAGGCAGAGCTGGGGAGCTCTGGCCAGGCAAGCTCCCAGGCTGCAGGGCCTGAAAGTACCAGGGAGACAGCCAGGCTAGGAGAAGGCAGCAGGTTTGGCCATTTCAAACTGCAGTTTCAAGGGCCTAGCGGAGGACTGGAAGTGGGTCACTGAGGCAAGGTGGGTATAGAGGGTTGGGGGCTCCCTGTGGGGGAGGGCCCTAGTGTGGGGGGGCGCTGTGGAAGGGCAGTACTCAGAGGGAAGGGTGCCTGATGCAAGGCGAAGAACGGAGGACTGGAAGTGGGTCACTGAGGCAAGGTGGGTATAGAGGGTTGGGGGCTCCCTGTGGGGGAGGGCCCTAGTGTGGGGGGGCGCTGTGGAAGGGCAGTACTCAGAGGGAAGGGTGCCTGATGCAAGGCGAAGAACAA